TCATCAACGATTTGGATGAGGGGATAGATGGGGAACTCATCCAATTTGCATACGACACCAAACTGGCAGGAATAGCCAACACTCCAGAAGACAAGCTTAAGATACAGAAGGATCTGGAGAGACGTGAACACTGGGCACTATCTAACAAAATGAAATTCAATGGTGAAAAAAAGTAAGGTTCTACATTTAGGCAAGAAAAACCAAATGCACGGGTATAGTATAGGGGATACCTTGTTCAATAGTAGTAACTGTGAGAGTCCTAGTGGACAATCACCTAAATATGAGCCAGCAGTGTGCTGCAACTGCCCAAAAGGCCAACACAGTGCTAGGCTGCATTAACAGAGGGATAGAATCATGATCACGTGAAGTATTAATGCCACTTTACAATGCCTTGGTAAGGCCACACTTGGAATACTGCATCCAGTTTTGGTCACCACGATGTAAAAAAGAGGTTGAGACTCTAGAAAGAGTACAGAGAAGAGCAAGAAAGATGATTAGGGGACTGGAGGCTAAAGCATATAAGGAACGGCTGCTGGAATTGGGTATATCTAGTTTAATGAAGAGAAGGACGAGGGGGGACATGATAGCAGTTTTCCAGTATCTCAGGGGCTGCCACAAAGAAGAGGGAGTCAAGCTATTTTCCAAAGTGCCTGAAGGCAGTATAAGAAGCAACGGGTGGAAACTAATCAAGGAGAGAAGCAACCTAGGACTAAGGAGAAACTTCCTGACAGTGAGAACAATTAATCAGTGGAACAGCCTGCCTCCAGAAGCTGTGAATGCTCCAACACTGGAAGATTTTAAGAAGAGACTGGACAGCCATTTCTCTGAAATGGTATAGGGTTTCCTGCCTGAGCAGGGGGTTGGACTAGATGACCCTCCAAGGTCCCTTCCAACTTTACTACTACTACTACTACTACTACTACTACTACTACTACTACTACTACTATTAAGTCTCTTAACAGCTGCAGTGTTTGCTTAATGACTGCAGCAGTGTAGGAAATGATCAAACTGAGCCCCAGGGAGGGGTCAAATGCATCATCAGTCATGAGTCTTTTTGTGCCTACAAGAGATCTAAGTGCAGCCCACTATGAATTCCTCATTTATCACCAAATTGCTTTGACTTTAATAGTTCAGTTTCTTGTAGAGAGCTTACGCTTACAATAAATCCTTATAGTCATTGGAACTGCCTGGATCTCCTGATTTTATGACTGTAGCAATTTTTTAACAACCACTGCAAAAAAGGTCATAAAATTGGGTCAATCACATGATGATTCACTTTACAACTATCACAATTTATGACCATAATAAGAAGGGTTCATTACAGTTGCAAGTTGAAGACTACTTGTAACAAGTCAGATAACACAACCAAAGAATCTCTACCACTTTTACTGCTCTAAATCCACAATTTCTTAGGAATTTGGAAGCCCTTCCCAGTGCACTAGCACAAAGGATTTATTTATTCATTTCAATGAAACACTTAGGCCTTCATGTACAAATTAATCTAGATGATTAATCTAGATGATGACCTCTTCCGTCATATCATAGAATAGGATAGTGGTGGCGAACCTATGGCACAGGTGCCAGAGGCAGCACTCAGAGCCCTCTCTGTGGGCACACAAGCCGTTGCCCCAGTCTTAGGCCTTCAACTGGGTTTTATAAAACCTTTCGCTTTAGGCCTCTACTGCCATGTGCAAAAAAAAGGTTCAATCAGTCAATTTCAACTTCTCGCAGGAAAAAAAATGATCTCGCAAAGTTGGAATTGATTGATTTAACTTTTTAGTCCCACCCAGTCTGCTGTTACCACCGCAGCCACACACCCCCAATGGGCCACACCCACCCGGCACTCGACAATGCATAAGTGGGTTTTGGGTTGCAGTTTGGGCACTCAGTCTCTAAAAGATTCACCATCACTGGAATAGGATGTTATTCCCAATAGAAAATGTAGCATCACTATCAGTTTTGAATATATGGATAATATTCATAATTCCTACCTTCTGGTAAGGGTTGTTATTTTAAATCCAGAATCAGTTTTGCAAAGATTTAAGGAATACAATAAACCTCTTATATCTTCTCATGCAATTTAGCATACAATTGAAATCAAGAAAAGATTCTAGCCCATTAAAAAAAAACCAAGAATGCTCTTATTTCTCAGTAATAAAAGCCCATATTGCAGCGAGAATCAACCAAATCATTTGAACAACTACACAATCTAGCACTATTATAGTGCAGCTTAATTTGTATAAGACATCTCCTCGCCGGTTATACTGTTTTTTCTTTCTGTACTGCTTCAAGAAACCAAAGAGTCAGTAATAGTTGTATCTTTTAAATAATCCTCTTTTGCTTTGGAGAATGGGAACAGCAGATCTTACACAGCTAGGAACAAATTGAACATAAGCAGTGCCCTGCTGGATTGGACCTCAGGCCCATCTAATCCAGCAGCCTGTTCTCACAGTGGCCAACTAAATGCACAAGGAAATCTCCCAGTAGTCTCTCAGCAGATGGCCTTCAGAGACAGTCACGCTCCATCAAGGCTAATCATTATTGATCCACATGACTTTCATGAATCGATCCAAACCTTTTATTGAAGCTAGCCAAGTTATTAACCAGCACCACATCGCTTTCAGGCTATATTGCAGTGATGGTGAACCTTTTAGAGACCGAATGCCCAAACTGCAACCCAAAACCCACTTATTTATCACCGGGTGCCAGGTGGGTGTGGCTCACTGGGTGGGCATGGCTGTGGTGGTCATGGCAGATTGGGTGGACAAGGTGGGCGTGATCACCTCGATGTTGCTCGGGAGGGATGCCTATGGGGGCCGGGCAGGGTTGGGAGGGTTCCAGGGGGTCTCTGGCAGGTGGGGCAGTGGGCAGGAGACTCGTCCTGCTGGGGGAGGCAAGGCGAGGCAGGGTGGGGGTGTCATTGTCACAGGGCAAGGTCAGACTGGGGCGGCTGCTGCCTGACAGCATTGGCCCCTGCACACAGAGGCCAGCGAGCGCATGGGTGCTGGGATGCATCTGGCCATGTGGGACCTCAGCGAGTTAGTGGGCGGCTGGTTGAAGAGGGACAGTTGCCATCTTCGGGGCATGGCGTGTGTGCCCACAGAGAGGGCTCTGAGTGCCACCTCTGGCACGCGTGCCATAGGTTCGCCACCACTGCTATATTGCTTGCTAAGACTGACAATGCCTCACACAAAGAATTTGTCTTCAAACCAAGTATAATTTATGTGTTCCACCATGTGAATCTTCTTTAAATACTGAATTGTATACTTCAGTATAATGATGTACCTCAATGCTGGAATCAAGTGTTGGAGGCTTTTCCATTAACGTTGTTACATGCTTTATCCAATTTTTTTTTAATAAGCATGATCTGCAAAGGATCATAACTTAATGTCAACTCTTTAATTTTCTGGCTCCAGGGAATTCTCGCTTAATGACTCTCTTTGAAATTGTCAACTCTGCTGCTAAGCAAAGTGGTCCTTAATTGGCAAATCAGTGATCACAACTGTGCTTTCCAGCTAAAAAAAGACAAGATTGCTTAGTTACACATTTTGGGTTTTTGTTTGACTCCTAACCATTCTGCTGGCCTTTGCAATGCTCAAGTGCCTGCTTACTGTCTTGTTTACACTGAAAGCAATGTGACCGTGCCACAACCTGGGCTTGGGAGCCATGGGTATGCTACATAAACATCTTACACTAGTACTCAATTGAAATCTCTTCCTTTCTTTCCATTCTGTGGTGGTGAGGGTGAAGAGAGAAAAAGCAAGCAATTTCTGTAGATAATCTTTTCTTTGCCTGACCCTTACCTACTACCAATATATGATCACATTGCTTTCAACACATAAAAGAGCAAATAGCTTATTCTCTTGAAATGCAAAGATCCCAAATGTTTTTAAATGGGCTAGAAAGATATTTTTCAGCACTATTATAAATTTGAATTGTTATTGAATGAATGGTTGGTAAGCAAGGAATACCTGGATTTTATTTTAATAATTTCATACATCATGTTTTTAAAGTTACTGTTTTATCTCAAATGAGCTGTAAAGTATCCAGATATTCTAAGTGGAGGCTTAATTAAAATTCAGTTATGACTAGTCCTCATTTAGCAAATGACTCATTTAGTGACTGTTTGCAGTTACACAACGATGAAAATGTAACCTTACAACCAATCCTTGTATTTCTAACTTTATAGGTCTGTAAAACAAAGAGCTGAATTAAGATCATAAACACAGTCAGGGTTTCATTTAGCAACCCCTTCACTTAATGACCAAGTTGCTGGTCCCAATTGTGGTCATTAAATAAGGACAATCTAACCAGATGCAGTGGCATTTTGGAAAAGACAAAAAGATAATTCATCCCATGTGATCCAAAGCAAATGGGGCTTTGATCAAACTGCCACAGCCACCATTTTTTTTATCAGCTTCCCCTCACCAATATATTACTGAACAGATACTGAGCATATAATAACTGGAATTTATTACAACCTAAGGTATAACCTTTATTAACCTTTCCAGGCTTCTTCTCCTGATGTTTTGGTCATACAACTCCCCAATTCTCAGAAAGTATCATTTTGGCTAGAAATTCTGGGAATTACTATTCTAACATATCTGGAGAAGGCTAGCTAGCTTATTTCTTATTTTTCAGACCCTCACTGGCAAAAAAATGAATAAAGCAAAAAGCACAGTTCAAAATCAGTTGTTATTATCTACCTTAATAGGTATGACATTACTTTTTACATCGAAAGTACCAGGTTCACCATTTCAGAGATAAAGTAAATATCAATTATTAACAAATTCTATTTTACATTTATGAATTGCATAGGCCAAACATCTTGCCATTCGCCATACATTCTGGTTACAGTTCATTAATAATTTGTTATCTATAAATTGGGTTTTTACTGCAAGTCTGAAACTAATACATATTTATGGGTTTCACAAAGAAGCTTATAGCAGTTACCCTCTTACTCAATATTTTATACTAGTAAAAAAAATGTTAACACTCACCCTTCCTAGCTCTTTATCTTCAAGTGCCAGGACACCTGTGCTTTCTGTAAAAAGTTTCACTTTGACGACAGGCCGAGGATGGGTTGTGGTAAAATCCCCTTGAGTTCCCCATCTGTAAGAACAACAAAATTGTGACATTCATAACCCAAGCCCATTAAAAGTAAGTGGTGCTCTGGATTTCAATAAATAAATGCAGGATTCACCTCTCTACAGACTTATTGAATAGAAATGTACATCTGAACATTAAGTTTTGAGAGTGGCAGAGATTTAAGGATTTTTCAGACATTAGTTTTGCAATTAAAAACCATTCAATGTGGCAGATGGCATGATGAAAGATTAATTATATGCTGTGAGTATACAACAAAAAGTGGATAGATTTGTGTAAATTATTTGGGATAAATCTGAATTTTTCCCATTAGAATATACTAAAGATACGAACACTAGTCATATTAACCGTGTTTTTTTCAATTATTGTGCAACTGTAGCACAATGGTGTAATGCCTAATCCAGTGAGGATGAACCTATGACAGGGGTCCCCAATCCTCAGACTGCGTACTGGCACTGGGCAGCAGTATGCCAGAAACCAGGTCGTGCAAACAAGTGAAGCCCCATCCACAGGATGCAGGCAGCATGTGAAACCACATCCTCTCCAGTCCATGGAAAAACCTCTCTCCACAGAACTGGTCCCTGGTGCCCCAAAGGTTGGGGGCCACTGACCCTGCCATTTTTGCTGACATGCAAGCCCTCTAAAGCCTCTGAAAATCGAGCAAGCATTTCCACATGATTTTCAGATGCTACACAAGCCCAGTGAGAGTAGGTCCCAGTCACATGAAAAGGCCCTCCTTTTGCAGGACTTCTGAGACCTCCAAAAAAACCCACAAAAGAACATGTTATCCCGCTCTTTTGGGACAGTGCAAGGCTAAGTTACAGCATTCTCTCAATCAGCTTTTCAACAGCTACAACCTGAAAATAGATTTTTCATTAATAGCATTTTAGCAGCTACAGCCTAAAAATAGTTTTCTTTTTAAAGGCTTGTTTTGATGGAGCCCAGTTGCAGTCATTGCTGAGCTTTCCTGTTTTGCTTGTCTTGGAAAACAAAGAAGAATCTTCCACAGAACAATTGTCATCTGGTGGGAGCTAGAAGCATGTCTTTTCCATGGCAGTCCCTGCTCTATGGCACACTCTGGCCCCTGAAGTTCAGCAGGCCTCCATCCTCCTGGCCTTCTGTAAAGCTTTGAAGACCAGTCTTTCCCCTCAAGTCCTGGGAACAGATGATTGCATATTAGAAATCTGACTTGGTGCCAAGTCTTTGTTTTAATGTTTTAATCTGTTTAGTTTTATAGTTTTAATAAAAAATAAACGAGTATGTAACCATTTTTTTATAAACCTTGCCAGGAAAAACTTCAGGGACTTATCTAGGCAGTCTCCAAGAATTGGACATGATTGAACAGGGGAAAAAAATAACCTTTGCATTGCCAAACTAGACATCATCTGAAACATGTTGCTGATACTATCCTGCACTTTATTGCTACCTCCTAGTAATGCAGATCTGCAACTTGACAACAAAGGTTTCTTTCACCATGGAATTTCATGACTGTCCAATGTATGCTTTAGGAAAATGCTGAAGAAAAAAAATATATAAGGAGAATATGATGATACAAAGTTGTTGTTGTTGTTGTTTCATGTCAGTGTTGATTTTGCTGACTGACTGGACAAGTCGCTGCAATTTTCTTGGCAAGATTACACAAATGGTTTGCTATTGCCTCCTTCCAAGGGTTGAGAGATAGTGACTGGCCCAAGGTGACCAAGCTGGGGTAGAACTCACAAACTCACAATCTTAACTACTTGCACCAAATAAGAAATAACTGCTATAACTAACACTGACAACAAATTACTTTAAGATAAGACAAAGCTCTATGTACATATTTTGTATGTAAATACTATGGCTACAGCTCTGTTTTCCATTATTTGCTAACCCCCCCTTAAAGATAGTAATCAGCAAATGGCATCAACTTTATTTGACTCATGGTGGAGTCATCTGAATAGCAAATTTCTTCTCTAACTAGACTGGCCACCATGATGCAGAATTAAGTCTATTTTGCATTAGCATATACATTGTTTTCTTATGTATATAGCTTGTCTGCAACTGTTTGCTGAAAGCATTTATGCATTTTTCAAGTTACTAGTTTTGATTTCTCCCCAAAAGCATTTAACCATCTGCGAACTATCATAATACGAATTTATTCTGTTGCAAGGGTTGGATGCTTTAGCGACAAAATACTGCCAACTCTTACACAAGGATGAAGCAATTACAGCATGTCAATCACTGCAGAGTTAATTCTAATAGAGTTCTGAGATGATGCTGAGAAAAAAGACAGGTAATGCAGGAAAAAGGAAAATATAGTGGAGAAGGGAAAAAAAGCTTATTTAGGATGATATTCTGAAAGAGACAGGGTATTTTGAAAGAGATAGGGCGGATATATAAACATAAAACAGTGAATTCTTAATATAATAGATGGATGTAGAAATTGAAATGGCATCTAACTTAATGAAGTTAGACTATTTTTGTGACTCTTATCACCAAAAGATTACTGTTTTGAAATAAGTCCAACACCATCAGCTTTTCTTCAATACATTTTGTTAAATAGTTAAATTCTGTGATGCAAATGCTTACAGCTTAATGCCAAGTTATATTGGAAACAGATATTCTCTTGGCTTCTATTTACTATAAGGATTGTTAAGGCTACTTTCTATTTCTTCTGCTTCATTGTGGTACACTTAAAATGTGTGTGTGTGTGTGTGTGTGTGTGTGTGTGTGTGTGTGTGTATGCAGTATATCCCTTGTGGTGTTTTTAGCTACACTGATCAGTAGGAGACACTATGTGACCAGTTTGATTATACTAAGGCTCAACAGATATGAGTAGTAGTTGTTATTCTTTGGGGTATAATATCCATTATATTGGTGTATAACATCTATGGGGAAGACCATCAGGCAATTCATTTTGATGTCCAAATAGGACAAAACCAATCATATGGTGTTTCCTGGAGGTCCATGTAACAGAAAATACCACATAGGTTATCTGCTATGTAAAAATAGGGAATCCCTGTTCATTAGATCAGAGGTTTCCAACCTGTGGGCTGCGGCCCACTACCAGGCCATGGGCTGTTGGCCACTGGGTGGCCTGAGTGGCTGGCCAGTGCACGTGTGTATGTGTGTACGCACCCCCATTCGTGCTAGCATTGCAGTGTTGCGCGGGCACTAGCGATACCATGAGCATTGTACAGGCACTATCTATTGTCACCATGAGCCCATCCCCCACTCATGAAAGCATTACAGTGGCACGTTGGTGCTATCATCACTGTAAGCGCACACTTCCCCCACTCACACTAGCATCGCCCAAGCATTGTGAGGGCGCTCATGGCCCCATTTGCATTGCGTACACAATCGTGGCCCCATTTGTGTGTGTGCTTGCAGTCCCATTCGCACACGCATGCATGCACACATAAATGCGTTTCCATACGCCTGCACCAGGCCGCCAACCAAGAAAGGTTGGGGACCCCTGCACTAGACTGAGACTGGAAGTCATGTAAAACTTTATATATGGGAACATGACATAATGATATCTGTACTTCTCTGCTCTGAGATTTCAAGGGAAGGGAAACTGTATACACAATTCTGACACTTGCTATATAAACCTTCCTGCAATGACTAAGCATCTGGACCTGGATACCTCTTAAACTAATGCAATGTATATAATCAAATGTATATTGTCTACTGAAATGAAAAGGCCCATGAGTTCAATTCCTGTTAGAGGGTTTGAATCTCACAGAGTAACAAGCTACCTATAGTATGTAAGTATACAACATTTTGGTGACATAAGGATTACATTAAACAAAGGACAAACATTAGATCACAAGGAGAATGGACATTATGAGATGGGATAGTTCATAGCACACTTCTACCTGAATGTGAACCCAAAATTCAACAGTAGAATTAGGAAGGACTCTAAGATGTGTGTCATAAAATAGAATACTGAGTTGAAGATGCTCATCCTGTGTGTGTTAAATGAAAGAGTTTTGGCTTGAAGTAAAAGAAAAAGCATCATATGCGTTATAATATAGATCAGTGATGGTGAACCTTTTAGAGACCGAGTGCCTATAAAACCTGGCCCTGCCCCCACTCCACCCCTCCGCTCTGCTCTGCCCCCACCCCATCCCCCACCCTGCCTGCCCGCAGGGCCACTCACCACCTCCAGGGCCCGCGGCAGATCGCCCAGGCAGCCCAGCAGCGCCATGGTGGCCATGCCCTCTGCCCACATCAACTGTGCACGATGGAGCATGAGGGCAGAGTCTTGTTCACACTGCCTGGCTGCCATGTCCTTGGCTGCGCCGCTCCACGTGGGCCACGCTCAGGGGTGACTCTCCTCCAGGGGGGGCTGCTGGTGAGGAGGAGGTCACGGGGAGGCAAGACTGAGGCAATGGCATGTGTGCCCACAGAGAGGGCTCCGAGTGCTGCCTCTGGCACCTGTGCCACCACTGATATAGGTACTAGGAACATTCTCTCTCTCTCTCATATATATCAGTGTCTGTGTCTGTCTGTCTGTCTCTCTGTGTGTATTCACATACACACAAACACATGTACACACACACACATATATACACAAATAAAACTGCTACACATATGTTCAGATAAGTAATGCACACAACAATTTAATATTTCAAATGTTATTTACTTATATTCTCCACAATAATACAAATCTAATAGCTGCAGTGTTTATTGTAGTAATTTTATTTTAGTGACATCTGCAAACACTGTGTTGATCAGGATAACTTAATTTAGCAAAGACTGAAAAAAAAATCCAAACCACTAAGACCAGTGTTAAGTAAAATTTTCTAGCTTTTTCATAGTACTATGGGATTTATATTGGATTAGGAATCCAAAATGTTATTTTTATACAGAATGAAACAAGGAAAGGAAAAAGCAAGGTGAACTGAGAAAGATAACTGTAAAAGTAACATGTAGGTATATCCTTATCTGCCCAGATACTGAAGGTGACATTCCAGTACACTAGAACTGAGAACGTCTCTCAAGGCTAGAGATAGGTGCACAGG